AAATCAGTGAAGTATAGGTAATGAAAGGTTAATATACAACTGCAAATACTAGACAAGAAACAAAAATATGTACAGGCAATGCGATCATTCTGTAGCAAAACATGCATATTCGAGAACCGTGTTCAGATATAATAAGCGATATCAAAATCAAATTGTGGCGTGTGGCAGAAGCACTCGAAACGTGGCTAGTGTGACCGAGGAGGTGGTTTTCTTTTAATTTCATTTCATTTTACAAACTATAAAAATAAGTTAAAAAAATAACTGTAATAAGTTATGTAGGACTACTTTGAAAATAAAATGTTAACGAGCAAATTCACTTCAACAAGTACAAATTTCGTCCAACTTAATTTTAAATCTCCTCTTCCCGGTGCAAAGGTTGAAAAGTGGCTCAAAAATTGTACAGGTAATTAATAGATGGTTCCCTAACTGTTTTTAGATACCTTTTTATAATCTTTTTCTTTATTGAGGTTTTTAGTTAGGATTATGGACATCCCGTACTATTAAATTTATTTCGTGTGAAAATATATAGACGGTGTGAGAATTCCAGGAGTGCGCCTTTTAAAAAATATACACGCGGAACTGTACACTAGTGGCTACAGTCACCTTCAAAATACTCTCCTCGTGCATCGACACGCACGTTCATTTCTGGAAGCAGGCCCGGAACACATTTTCCAGAATATTGTTGAGCAGCTGTCTCGCATTCTGTTAGATATCAGTTACAGTATATTAGAAAATCTATGTCCTTTCAGAGCAGCTTTTCATTTTGGAAATAGCCAGAAATCGAAGGGAGCTAAGCTGGGTTAATAGGCAGGATGATGTAATTGGGTAATCACTTTTTTTGGCCAGAAAATGTCCGACGCTGAGTGGACTGTGACTTTGTGCGAATGGTCCTCTCGTCAGACCAGTTTGGGTCTATTTCTTTGAACAGAATCTCGTAATCTCTGCAGTACTTGTAATCTCTGCAGTACTTATAGTGTTGTTGATTAACTGTTTATCCCCATTCAATAAATTCTTAGTGGACTATTCACTTGTAACCAGGGCTGTGGGGTCGGAGTGGTCAAAAAATCCGCCGACTCCTTTTTACTTCCCAACTTGTTATGTATATAAAACGGAAAAGTTTAAGAAATGAAATTTGGCACTGTAGCTCGCGTATAAAGGGGCATTAATATTATTAAATTTTGGTTCTTAATCTTGGTCGACGGGGTGAAGACTTAAAAGTGGTCACGTGTCATATCTCGTAATGAATATTTTACTCATTATTAGCGTTCGAAATTTAAAAAAAATAAAATAAAACTTGTTTTTACCCTCAAAGTAAGCTTTTTTGTCATTTTATAATAGTGCAGTAAAACCCGTTAAGACGTTCTCGCTTAAGATGTTAGAATGTATATGGGGACACGATTTAGTTCAACCACTTTGACTTAAATAACTAACTCCTGTGTTAAACCATCCGACTCCGATTATGACCATTCTGACCACAGAAATTATTAGGCTTGAAACAGGGTGAACGAAATCATGCCCCCACACACAGTCTAACATCCACACATATAGAAAAAGCCGAGAATCTTTTTTATATCTCGAAATTTCAAGGTGTTCCGAGTCCAAAAAATGTAAAAATTTGGGAGTGGTCATTTTTTTGACCGTGCGCTACACTTTACCTCTGTTATATAGGCTATAACAGCCGGAAAAGTAAAAATGATAGAATACATATTTATATATTACTTAGAGAAGTCTTTTAGCTTTGGAATAAAAAGTTTCTACGCTCTATCTTTATTACAACTCTATTTATTGAATATTTTATTCTGAGGTCGCGTGATGACATCAGAATTTCCGGGTCTTTTTCGGTAACAAGTCTGCCCCTAGTCGGAGTCGGATGGTAAGGAAAAGTCGGAGTTGGAGTCGGTAGATTTTTACGCAACTCCACAGCCCTGCTTGTAACCAAAGAAACACACCAACATGGTCTTAAACTGTGAGTGTGTCACGCATGCCTTTTTAGAGTGCGACAAACTCTGGGTTAATTAACGCTAGCAGACTCACGCTCTACACACTTTTTTTTTATCACGGGAGAAAGACCTTGTGGTGGTTTCTCTCCCTCTCTCTCTCTTTTTTTTTTATTAGGATAAGTGCACCTCCTGTGTATTCTTAGTGTATAACACTAGAATGAATACATAAACCAAAATACACGATACAAAATAAACATAAAATTAGTATTCGGCTTTTAGTGAAAACTAAAATGTAAAACTAGATATTAGAAATTATAAATAGTGTTTTCTTACATGTTTTTTGAACATAATTGTAAAAAGCATCAAACAGTGGCTTCTGAACAAGCTTATCGAGTGGACACGGCCACCCGAAACCAAGCGTAAATATTTCTAATTTCAGAATAAGTCTATCTTGATGGTAAATTGTCAAATGATAGATCATATGGTCGACGGTGTCTAGGTTTTCTGTAGAGCAAAAGCAAGAAGCAGTTTCTGCCCGGTTATATATCACCAGCTAGCTTGTAAAATTACCACGCTCGGTAAGTAATTGAGCAGTAGCAAACGTTAAATCTCTAAGTGGTGATGAGAACCTGCATTCGACACTAGGAAAATATAATCTTGTTTTTCTACCATTGCTGATTCCACTTTTGCATAGCGTTGTCACGAATATAATTTTTAAGGCTGCTACGTGAGAGAGGGATGCGAGTGTAGTCCGAGTCGGTGTCCGTTGCAGCCGACTTAGCCTCAATGTTGGCTTTTTCGTTTCCTAGTATGCCAGTATGGCCAGGAATAAATATAAAAGTTATCTTATTTACAAGATTTTGAATATGGTGGTGGATATATGTGATTTTATTGCTATTGCAATTGGGATTTAATAGAGCTTTTAGGACAGACTGAGATTTACTGTAAATGTTGATAGACAGAGTTTCGTTTGGTTGTGAAGTGGCCCATTGAACAACTTGGTAGACAGCATGTTCTTCAGCTTGATAGATGGAGGTATCTGGGGGTATCTGTACCTTCTATTTTGGGCAAAATATGCCAGTTAGGACCCATCTGTGTAGATATTAATGTTTGCATGATTATCCATGGAGGAAGCGGATGACACCAAATGTACTCTGAGATAACCTTGTTTACAGGGTGATCAGAGACAGGGTAATAACAATGTGGTAGCGTACGAACAGCCGTAGATAGGAGTAGAGACCGTTGTTAAGCCTTGATGTTTGTGGTTCTGATGTAGTTTAGAACCTTTTCTACAATATATAGTGGCAAAGGAAGGAGTTTTGCTAGAATTAGAGGTATTAGTAGAAAGTTCTGCAGCACTGAAATTCTGATGGCAAACTGTTTTGGAGAGAGTAACTTACTTGCTACTGAGTTTTTACTAGTTACATGACCTCAGCTACAGGCCGCGTAAAGTACCATTGGTTGTATTGCCCCATTATATAGAGTTTTTTACAAGCTTTATGATTTAGACCTACCACATTTTAGCAGCGTGTAGTTTATTTTCTTGGCCTTAGCCAAGATGAAATCAATATGGCAACTGAATATAGTTTCTCTATTCTGTTGTTTTATTTTCTATGACGTTTCTGTTTGCATGTGCACTAGCTAGTCGATATGCGAAGTTTTTAAAATTAAAATTAATATAAAAATGAATATTATGACGTTGATTAATGATAATAATAATTAAAGGATAATTAATAATTAAAAAATAAAGTTCTTGAAATAAATTGTTCATTCGAATTCATTAAATTTTTATATTTTTTAAATTTGTTCATATAGTCTTTTATAAGTAATATCGATATATAATTATTAATTAGTTAATATGTACTGTTTTGGACCTAAGGTTTTTAGGGTTTCATAAAAATTTTTTTTGTTAAAATCTTTCTATAAAATCATGCCTAAGTATTCTGTAATATAGGGAAGGGTAGGGAATCAAAGAAAATATTACGGTTTCTTACACAGGGGTGGGTGGGGTCTAGAATGGCCAAAATCGCCCTTACGTAATGTATGGACGGCTCCTTAATCAGAAAAACTGATCCAATAGATGTAAAGGTAATATAATTTGTAAATTCACCGTGAAGACAAATTGAGAAGAAAGGGTGTATAGCTCTCCCTATTCACAGCCTGGCCCAACTTAATTAAAGACGATTTATAGTCCTCGACATTCTGTTCTGCTTGCGCCCATTGATGACGATCCATTCTTTTATAACGTTCGTTGCGTCGGTCGCATTCCACTAAGTAACACGAACCTCGCAACGGTCTAATGGAAAGTTTACTTTGTGATCAAGAACCAACAGAAATAAGCAACCGGTATTGAATATTCTGTATTTGATGCAATTGCTCAAACGCCTCATCTTGTACAAATGTAAAATGGAGAATATTTGAACCACGGATAAACTGTATAACAGATGGTAAAAAATGAAATCTGTCGCTTGTAATCAAGCATCCAATTGGACTAAAATGGATTCCCTACCGTCAAATATACTATAAACTACCGAACTGTAACTAAATATTGTTCGACGACCCTCGGCAGAACTGTCACATCTAAAGGCCCGCTGTTCATATTCCACTTTTAAGGTGTCCCGCCCATTTCGGTCCGTCACCAAGATTCAGTTCCGACTCTACTTAGTAATAATCTAGTACCATACTACCAGACCGCCTCGAGCCTAAGATACACCGAACTCCCGATTATCCATGCTGATTAGTATGTGGGTGTGCACAGAAAACACGGACAATCCAAAATAGCCCTCTAAGTGTATATAAAAAGAAACTATTCCAGAGGTTTTAAATGGACTACAGTAAATAGAGTTCAACTTTATTATAATGTGATGAAGTGCAAGACCCAAGTTTCATGAGCTGAAATGTATATTTAGTCAATGCTACTTCGTTTGTTACGCCGTCCACGAACAAAACACTGACGATGCACGGATAATTGAGAGTTTGGCGTATACCGCAGCTTCGTATTTATGTACCCGCGGTGTTTAATATTATTTTGTCTTAACTTTTCCTTTCAAATAATAGGACAGTACTTTGCAATTTAAATTAATAATATTTTATTCGGAAATTATTAAAAAAAAACAAAGAAAAGAAATGACATATAGAATATATCTGCTTGATAGACTTACCTATATTTCCAGAAATACGCAAATAGCCTTACTTTATATCGGTAAATAACTGTCATAATTTGCAGGAGGTACAAAATGATATATTTATATATACATATACATACCGAATATCTTAATAATAAATACATCTTGTTTAATTTCATCATTCTTCTGATACATTTATTTACAGCATACGATAGATAAACTAATGTCTACAATCATTGCAGTTTTTTACATATTTAAAAAATCCTAAATAAATGCTGCCTTCAAAGATGAAATATTTAACATTTATTTAAATAAAAAACATAGGCACATAAGTTAAATTTTCCATATCAAATCTTCAAATGCAATATAATTATTTGCATACACAGAGATATCAAAATAATTAAAAACAGAACAGAAAAAGAAGGATGCATTCGGTTAATATTGTTTCCATACCAGAGAGATTCTAACTAAAATTTGCTTTATAATTTAAATAAGTTACGAAGAAGAAAATTCCGGTAGTAACTGCGTGGAGGTGCAATTAAAAAAATCTAATTAAATCTATATAAATAATTGGTCCGAATGTAACTTTTTTAAGACTTTCGTTCTTATTAAAACTACATATTGTAATGAATTACGAGAACTTCTAACCCTGAAAATTATATATTTTTACAGGAATTGAGTTATTAACCAAATTAGAAAATTATATATATGGAATTTTGAACATTATTAAACTATAGGAAATATATATTATCGATTAGCTATTTTAATGTAAAAACCCTAGAATATAATCTTTTCTTTCGGATCTTACCATTTAAAGAATCGAAATTAATGTTTAGAATCTTTTTAAAAATATTCCTTTGCTGGTGTAATGTAAATCATTTTAATTAATACAATTCATTATCTGATAATATATATAATAATAAATTCTTTTGTTTTAGAAATGAATAACTATTGTTGTTAGATTAAAGTATGAGTTAACATTTGAAACAAAAATCTGAAGATACGAGTTATAAGATTCTTTGGTGTCTCAAATATCTGATGCTCGGTATATAAAAAAAAAAAGATAAGAGAACTTAAAATACTATTAATATTGTAGATTACTTTTTAAAGATATTTGTAGAATCTTACGATGCATAATTAAATTACAAAAAACTTGTTAACGATTGTTTGATAAATAACTATCAATGACTTTACATTTTGGTCTTGAAAGTTACAATAATTTTCCACATTCAATACGGCACCACAAAATTTGAAGTTCTTATAGGCAGTAACTGGGAGCACTTTAGCGAATTGTTTGGGTAGGTCATACGGCCGAGAGCGATCTGAGTGTTCTCATCAGGGACGTCAGGGCGGTGGCCAACGACGTCGCCTGGTGCATCAGCGTGCCCATCTGCGGATTAGTAATCCCTCTTCCTATGGTGTGTTGAGCGGCTATGACCATTTGAGAATACGCTAGCGCCACTCCTTTTAATCTGTCTAGAAGTGCCGACATTTGTACGGTCGACGTCATATGACTTAGCACCGACTCGCTGATGTTAAAAATGCGATTCATCAAAGAAATACAAGACACCATGTTTTCTATCAGCCCGTCCGACGATTCCATGGCACTCTTGACGAAAAATTTCGAAGCCGTAACAAACTGTCTAGATTCGGCGATTAATGTATCTTTGGCAGTTATGAACTTATCCATGTCTACTTCCGTCTGATGATGGTTCATGTATTGTTTTAGGTTTTGTAACTGAGTAAACATAACCGATATTTCGTTATGTACTTTTTGGAAAGATTCGTCCGTGCAAGATTTTAAATTGTCGTTCGACGTCTTCCTGTTGTAAGCCTCGCTTAGCAACAGATGATTTTTTTCTCGACAATTACTTTTCACCTCCAGAATGCGATCGTTATGGTTGAACTTTTTCTCGCCGTATTCCCTTTTGTGCTGATGTATTTCCTGTCTGAGAAAGGTGTAGGTCATGTCGCCGTCCACGCTTTTGTATATTTTTAAAGAATTATTACTAAGTCCATTGATGAGTTTGGGAGTAATTTTTGCAGAAGACAGTTTTCCCGTACTCATTCTCTGATAACTCCTCGTAAGTCTGGGCGAATTGTTGGGACTGACTCCGGGACTATGTCTTCGTAGATTATAATTCATTGTCGTCAGTCTTCCTCCGACATTGGAGGATTCAGATAACTTCTTTGATCCGCTGGCAGAACCGTGATTATCTTTAGTCAGAGACCTTCTAAATCGACTCTAGAATAATAAATTACAAATCCATGCTGATACAAATCATTATATTTCTATTTAAAAAAATCGCTCAAAATATTTTATTTTATCAAAGGCATGGGATTAGAATTAATCTAATAATTTACTATATATTTTATATAAATCATTAAACATTAGCATGGAATTCCATTATATTATTAATACCATACGATGTCTCATTGACATATTTTTTATTTACTGTAATAAAATATATTTATCGACAATTGACGTCTTCGGAATAAATTAACCCATTTATCTTACAAAATAAAAAACCTGCAGATTACAAATTTACCTGCAATAGGGGAGATGTTGGCGGTAAAGGTGGTTTCAATATTCCTGAAAGTTCGTTATGCTGATTGGGAAGTTGAGTAATGTGAGCCTTTGAATCTGATATGCTATTCCATGACATGGATCGTGATATTAATACTGATTGCGGGGTCTGCGGATTGACTTTAATGTCGTCCGAACTTCGCTTTTCTGTCTGATCTTCGTCCACTGCGTGATTGTTAACTATCCTTTTAGTTCTCGGCGGTACTTGAGGTTTGTTGTCTTCGGACGAAACAGAACTGACTGATGACTTAGTGATTTGATGGTCGTTGTTACAAACACAATTTCCGTTTGAACTCTTCCAACTCTGCTTCGAGTTTAAAACGGGAGATGATGTACTGCTATATACACTGAACTGATGAACGGTTTTGTCCGTTAACCGAATGCTTGAGCTGTTTGTTTCCGTACCGGATATTCCGGAAAAGTCGACGTTAACGTATCTGTTTAATTCGCTATCGAAATCGTGTAAACATTTTTCGATATCGTCCTGTAAAACAGTTTCTCCGTACGATGTTAAAGAAGAGGTCAACGTATTATACCCTGAGGAATCGCCACCACGAGTTTCACTATCACTTATTGCATTTAATGTTTCACTCGATAAGTAATCTGGATTAATTACTGGAAGATTGTGATCAAAATTGCATATTTTATCCGAATATTTTAATTCTCGAGTCCAGTTATCCTGAATTCCCACGTAAAACTGAGATATATCACGAGGGTTCTCTTGAAGATCGTCTTCGGATTTAAGTTCTCCGCAACAATGACCGTTCTTGCAATTTTTTCCGTCCGTGTTGTCGATCATTCTGCGAATATCGTCGGCGGCCTGTCGGAATCTTGCCAAAACTTCGTTCTGTTCTTCGGTACTGGGGCTGGAGGATGGAGGCGGCGGTATAATGTATGCCGAAATATCGTCTTGATGTTCGTCGTAGGAAATGGGCTCGCCAGAACTATCGGTCGGAGGTGGCGGTACCGTAACACTAGCGATGAAAGTGTCGATGTCATCGTCCTGATTCAGACACAACACGGACGACACCGGTATTGCTTCTGTCGAATGAGATAATTCTGGAAGACTGTCGGCATCATTCGACGGTATTGCTTGTATGGATGTACTGGTTATTGAAGATATTGATTCCGCTATGGAGTTAGCTTGCATTTCTGACAGTGTATCGCACAAGTGATCTAATTCGGCAACTACTCTAGCAGAATCTATCATTGGTTTAACTTTGGCTTCTTCTGTTGACGTCTCGGAATCTAGGAGGAGAAAAAAAATATCGATGTAATTATATCCGTGGAAATTTAAATTCTGAAAAATAAGTAATTACGGCTTAAAATGTGTGCGCGCGCCAAAGTTTGACTTGCACTAACAATATTTAATTTATTTTGATCAGAAAAAAAACAAGTGAAATTGACATCATGTAACACCAGACAATTTCTCTTGGTGTATTGCATGCTGCCATAAGTTTTCAACCCTGACACAGATGATTCAACGGTATAAAGAAATATTATTTGAGAAAATATTATGTTTTGCATCCTGATAACATTTAATTTATTGTTACAAGACATTTTAATTTTTCATACATAGTGTCTTTTCATATTAATTTTCATTTCCAGTTAAATATCAATTAATAAATTTAAAAAGTATTTTTGAAATGTTTTATGATCCCTATTTAGAAGCATATCTTGTTCTTTAAAATGTATTTGCGAGAAGCTTTTCTATTATTTCTTATGGTAGAATTTTGTATCTTGTTTCTGCATAAACCTATTCATCCTACCTATGTTAACCAAGTAACATTAAAGTGCTACAAAGTAGCACCCAATGATTCTAAATCGAATAAAATGAAAGCGTTGATTACTGTAGTTCCTTTTATCTCAATGACTAATGCATAGTGGCATATAACTTGCAGAAAAAGGTTTATTTTCGTGAGTATTAGAGTTCCTACTCTAGTACTCACAGAAATAAACTTCTGTTTAATCCATGCTAATATATACTCCTCATGCCTCATGAAAAACCTTTGAAAACATGACACTTACCAGGATGCAGTTACAAACATACCTCTATAATAAACTGTTAATTATTTCATTTAAACTACAGATTGCAAATTAGTTTTTAATTATAAGGTTTACAGTATCATTAATTAACCATCTCCCTCTGGAATAATTTTTATACTGTTTTTAATTTTTTTTTGGTGTTTTTTTAGGCACAGTCTTTAAGTTTTGATGTGGAAAGGAACTCTTATACTAAATGGGATTTATTCATTCTGTGTATGTGACCAAACTACCAAGACTGCACAGATGTACAATTGGTTATAGATGATTGATTTAGGCAAAACTTCCCGATATTCTCATTCTTTAGACAGTGCAGGAGGGTTACACCCAGTTTTTCTCTCAGGAATTGCATCATAAAACCTCTAATTTGTTTTCATCCAACTTGAGGATAGTAAAGATTTCATCACTGTATAATAGTACAGGTAGAAACAGAACCCTATAAAGGTGCATCTTTGCTTTAAGTGAAACAACAGCAAACATCAGCTTTTCAACAAAGCAAAAGCAACTGCCTCTAATTGTCTATTATGGAAGGGTGTTGTAAAAAACTCGTGTAAATTTGTGGCATCCAAAACAGCTAGACCAAGCAAGATAATGGGACACGAAGTGTTTTTAACTTAATTCTCTAATGATAGGTGGTGCAGCCAAACAGTTTTCAAGTTTAATTAACTTATTTTAATCATTTTTAATTTGTAAATGGCAATAACTGGTACAGTTGCCCTAGAAAGACAGATATAGCAAATTTTTGTTTAACTTTCTGTCAACATTCTCCATTTCTTCATGCAAGTGCTAAACTTAAAATATATTTATAATTTTGTTCTTTCCGTTCACTTGAAAAACAACTCATTCTAAATTTTATAAAGTAATAATTTTAATTATTAGATCTTTTATTTTGGACTGTGCATGTAAGGTTTTGTAGGTATCCATCACTATTCTTTTAGTTGTTCCATATGATATATGTTCATAAAACACTAAAACTAACTACTTGCTTTTCTAATATTATTTAATTATACGTGTTTTGTATTCCTATTTTTATTCAAATAGTTATATTGAAACAAAAAACAAGCGTTCTATAAAATTGCAAAGTTTGTAAGTAAGGTTAATAGAGCAACACTTCTTGCATTTATCAGAAACTAAACTGGACATTATAAAACTGAGTGCATTAGGTGGGAAAAAACCATGTTTGAAACAATTACTACTAAATGATAGTAAGTGGGTAAACAAGTGTAATGTATTGTATTAAGTACATTGGAGGATCAGACTAACAATAAGTGGTTATTCTGTGTAAAAATGTACTTTTTAGGTTAGTTTTTGACTTACAGAAAAACTTGCCAAACAACCTGTTTAGCAAGTAGAGATATTTGGAGATTAATATGGATAAAAATCTAAAAAAGAAAATTCTTTTTCAGATTTTTAATCAATACATTGTCTAAATGTGGAGTTCTATAAAAGCTCTTCCTGAAATATTGTATTAATACAAGTTTCTACTCTCATTATACATGGTCAATGACTACCTTGTTTTATAAAAATTAAAATTTGTGTAATTTCTAGATGTTGGCAGTAGAAAGACTATACTTAATGATGAATTCATTTCCCAATTTATATTGTTTTTTTAATCTTTCTTATGTCATAAGGAAATTTTTACTTTAAAAATTCTAAGTAGCCAATAACTACACCATTTACCCTATTTGATGTATAATAACTGTATAAAATATTTTATTGCACCAGAAACGTCATCCACTAGCATTCTGAAACTAAGATTATTCTTTTGATATCTTTTTGTTAATCTTAAAACATAATATTAGAAAATGATAATTAAAAATAATTACCTAATTTTGAGGTTAATGTTTCATAAATAGGAGATTCTTCTTTAACAGTGAAATTACTTAATATTCCTATTTTTGTTAGCCTGTCCAATTTCTCCTTCAATGAATTACTGTCCAGGAATGGAGTGGGTGGATGATCCAAATGGTATGGAACGCCGTCCAGGCCGGAGTCGGGAGTAATCGGCGGCGGAATCATAGTTAAATCGATTATGTCCGGATCTAAGTACAATGTTCCTTCGGCAAATGGTAATTGGAGATCGTTGCAGGATTGTAACTGGCGTAACATATCTATAATATGATGATTTGTTGTATCTATACCAGGAAGCAAATCTGGGCTGTGAAGTCCAAAACTGGAACCTCGTCTCCTAGAATGGGAATGTGCCTCGATAGAATTTCTCAACGGAGTAGAATGATGTAAGGGACTGTCGTTAGAAGTGCTTTCTGCGTCACTTTCCGATGGAGATATTTCTTCATTTTCAACCATATTTCTTACTTCAGAAATATTTATTCCAGTCTGTATAGAGTCGTCATCTATCTGGGTTAAAAGCAGAAGAGAATCGGCAGCTTTCAATTGAGACTGTACTTCGACGTTTTCGATTTCTTCACGTCGTTCGCTTTCTAACTCCTCCGAATCTTTTAATTCGTCTTTGTCATCAGATAAATATATTTCGGCATCATTAACAATTTTATTCATTTCGGATATACGTCTGATGACTTCGTCGTTTTTAGCTTCAAACAAATTGAGATCGATGTCATCGTTTGTATCCTCTAACGAATCTAGAGTTGCTAAATTTCTGTAATCGGTCTCCGTATCCAATACGTCTAATTTTGTTCCGGAATCTATTTTATCACTTTGTTTACTAGAATCATAGGAATTCTTACTGAGCAAAATGGATGTATTATTCATTTCTGGTCTTGAAATACATTGTGTCTCATTCATATTATGATCAACCGAGCTAGAACTGATAATGCATTGATCCCTAGAATTATTGCGAGAGAGTTGGCGTTCTTGTTGCTGAAAAATAAATAAAATAAAGTTAATAAAATGTATATTTATATGTTAAAAGAAACAGTTTCTAAATTATATTTTTAATAATTATTAATCTGAAAATTTTTTTATGTTAAAAACAGTTAGTTAATATTTGAAATAAGGAATATAGAGCCAGATCTGTGTGCAGGTACATGTTTTTCTTTAAATATTGTGATGTCAAAACCTCAATATAAATGCTATTTTGGACCAAGTAGATCAAATTACAGTTGTCTGGTAATGTATATTTTGTACACATTTTATGAATTTTATTGCAGATTTGATTAAGACAAAGTTTTTAAAGCACTTACTTACAAATCATGCAAACAAGACTAAGTGCTATTTTTTAAATTGATGTACAGTTTGTTTCCGTTATCTGTGCAGTGAACCATTCTTGTGCATGTACAGTTAATGTGAAAAATATCACTCTGCCATCCAATTACAGATGAGCACACAAAATTTAAATATATTCTTTTAAAGGCTTAAAAACAAATGCTGTATTTCATGAAAAATCTTTCAATTGGATTAAAATTTAAAGATGACATGACATATCCCAGGAGTTTCTTCATTTAGAATAAGAGAGACTTACACAAAAAAATATATAAATTCTTTAGTCTTTTCTTCCCTGGTTCACAGACCAATTCAGAAGTAACAGTTAAGATTTTTATTTCTTCAAGCCAATTAAGACAGCAAAAAAATAGAATAATAAAAATTACCACAAAGTTAAAACATGATCAAAACACCGATCTTTTATTAGAGGCTACAGTGCTTTCACAATTAAAATTATTGGAAATGTTATAAGAAATCATGTCCATGTATTTAATTTGAGTAAGATAAGATTGTTAAATTCCTGTTTATGGAGCATGCATAGAAAAGATTCTATTATATCGAATTCAGTTCAACCAACGATAAGAGTAAAACAGCAGAAAATGCCTGTATGTGCTGACATTTAAAATAGTGACTTCTTTATTACTGCAACAATGATATAGTGTGTAATAGACTCACTATATCATTGTAGCAGTAATTAAGTGAATATAAGATTTTTTATAAGGATTATATTTAGTTTATTATTTTGTTAATTGTTTTTGCCAATAGATGGTGCTACGTGTAAATCAGCAAACTGAATGTAGATAGAAATATGTATTGGATTTCAGTAAATCAATTACATCCCACCCCAAAATATATGATATTATCTAAGTTAGAAGTTTATGAATGTAACTGCTGAGTTTCGTAGCAATTGGTCAAATGGCGTAGGAATGTACAGTACAATGAACAAAAATATATAATAAATGAGGATTTTATTTACTGATTATTAATAATAATAATAATAATGAAGTATTTCATTTTTATTTTCTAACCAAAAGAATTGAAAACTCATAATTAGTAATTTCAACTTGTAAAGGGAAAGCTTTTCAAATAACATGGTAAAAGCTATGGAAACGTCATTCATTGTTATTTATACTTTTGAGAATTGAGCAATATGCACAGAAGACTCTAGGACCAAGGAGTACCAATATGCTCCCTGGTTATCTTATATTAACCTTACTTGTCTAGATTTTTACATCAGCTTTTCAAAATTGTTTAACAGAACATGAAAAAAATAATAATTTTTAGTCAGTTTATCGGTCCAAGAATTATCCAAGTTAGAGTGTGGTACAATACTAAAAGGAGGAATAGAAAAAGTATAAAATCATAATTTACATAATTTCTAGTGAAAGTAAGAAATGTAATGGTTTTGTGCTCCATACTTTAAACTGATATTTCTTGGAATGCACATCAAATTTTTCTGCTTTTTTCTGTTTGTATAAGATTGCATTATGTCATGTGACTTCTATGACAAAAGTATTATTATATTTAGTTTCATTTTAAAATAACAGTGCATTGATATTAATGAGGCATTGCAGCATGCATCTTAAGCATTCTCCTGGATATGTTCCTGTCAAAATCCGAGTTAATTTCTTTCAAACTCTATAAAATCTTAAACAAGATTTTCAAATTATAGCATAAATTTTCTCTCTTTAGAAATAATTAAGTATTTGTATGATTCATTTTGCACCACAGAAATTTTAAATATTTGCTTTGTATAGAATGTTTTACAGTAGGATGTCCAAACTTTTGGCTTCATTGGGCCAAAAAAATTGTCTTGGGCCACATAAACTATAAAACTACATGGAAAATCTTTCTCATGTCACCTTTACATTCTAGGCCAAAACAAACAACGAAATAATTTATGTAGCCAAAAAAGTAGCCAATGAACTAAACTAAAAAACAAGGGTAGCCCACTTTGATGCAAAGTAGCCAAATCTTTTTATTTGAGATACAGTACATAATATGCATTTAATTTATGGGGACAGCCATCTTAACTTCTGTCTTCAGCATTGACACTACAGTGGCTAACTTAAAGCCAAAATAGCTTAACTGTATTGGACAGCCCTGTGCTACAGAATATTTAACACTTGATATGTTTTGCTTTCTGACATTTTCTGGGTCATTTACAAGGTTTTATGCACTGTAAATGAGCCAGCAACATAAAAACTCAAATTAATGTCCAAATGATTTCAAAAATGCATTGTAGTTTTAAGTATTCTTATAATGAAAATGTTTGTTTCTATAACTACTAATTTCTATAATGTAATTAAAATTCTTTGTAAAACTTGGCACCATGATTATTGCTTCTTACAGGAACTGAAATCTTTTAAAATATTAAGCAATTAAAAAAAAAACAAAAAACACTATTATTAAACTTTATATGTAATAAATAAATTAAAAATATTCAATTCTTACTTCAGATGACATGTACGGAGGTGGCGGCACCGTTAAATCGACCGAATGTAACTTAGGCGGAGAGTCTTGAACCGACGGATAACTCCAAGGGGCCTCTCTAACGGTATGTCGATTGTGATAACACGGCACTGTAAACAAGTAAAATTTTCATTTACTTAAGTCAATTCGTCTTTAAAAAAAATAATCGACTAATCTACATCAAACGTAAAAAAAAATTTACTATTTATGCTTATAAATCTAAAGACAGACAATTATTACTCGGTTCCGACGGAATTTTTTAAAATCACTATTCGGCCGATAAGTTATTATTAAAAAGCAATGCAAATCAGAATCAATACCACATACCCGAAGAGCGGACAGACATGTCCGAACTTTGTTCAGCTGTGTAAAAGAGTCATCCAATAAATAAAAAAGTATTAAATATAAGGATACAAAGAAATTTTCTTTTGAATTTTAAAATATGTTAAATATTCAAGTTCATTTAATTAAAATTTCTAATAATGAATTAATTCTAAAAGTAATATAGATTTTATAGACATTTAAAATTATTTAGAATCCATTCGTTACAGAATTTAAGTTAGGAAAGTTAAGAAAGAAAAATGTACTTAATAATTATTTCATCATTAGCCGCTGGTTATTAATACTAATAAACAATAAAAGTAATTAATGTTATTGATTCTATTAAATGTTTTCTTAATGTATTTCAAATATAGCTTTATAAAAAAAAACTGACTGCATTTGGTGACTTAAAAAACAACAAGATAATGTATATACATGTATGTGTATATTTGTATGTATATATCTTGTTTTTTAAAGCAGATATTGCCATTGATTACAAAGATCATGCATTGTATTACATTATTTGTAATGCTAGTTTCAATTATTACAGCTCTCTCTCATCTAATTCCAGAGAAAATTGTAATGATATACAGTATTGCATACAACATATAGGGTGTTTCAAAAACATACAGACAAACTTCTGGGAGTTATTAGGACATCAAAACAATCACTTTTTGTTAGTAAACCCATGTCTGCAAATGAACTGTTTTGGCAATAGAATATATCCCAGTGTGGAGGGGTGTGTATAAGTACAACAGACACAGAACCAATTTCTAGTGCATATAATATAAAAAACAAACACTACAATAAAATTAGTTTTAATTTTAAGCCAATTTGCAATGACAGCCAGTGAGAATCCAACCTGTTATGTTATGATTAATAAAAAATACCCACATCCTAATTTTTTTATGAAGGTTTTTGAAAATCTTCAAACTGATGATAGTTTTTACTCTCAACCTAAATGAATAACAAATGAAACTTAAATACCAAGGTTGGCAAAGTTTCATTTGTTATTCATTTAGGTATTTGAAATTCTTTTAAAAGAAAAATTATTGTCCATTTGAAGAACTGGCTTGGATGAGAAGCTGCAACTCTTTTACAAGGAGAGGTACCCCAATTGCTGTCAAGATCTGGCAAGAGTCATGGCCACTAGTACACATGTAAAGCCATTCCAGAAATACTCTGTAGAGTGAGAATCCATAAACTGAAAATGCAATCTCTGGAATGGAATGCATGCTCACCATTTTGAGCACCTGCTGTAAATTTTAACAACTTGCTCCATTGCCAAAATGGCTCATTTGGAACACGAGTTCATTAACAAAAACTTATAAAGGACACCAAAATAATAATTCCCCAAAGTAATAAGTTTGTTGGTGTGTTTTTGAAACACACTTGTAATAATGTTGAAATTATACAATTTCTCACTGCACAGTAACTTTTTGGACACACTGTATTAATCCTAAAAATAAGCATGAAAATAATTAAATTTCCCATAATTTTACTATACAAAGTGATAAATTTGTAATACAAATTTGCTATATTCAAACAAAAATAACAAAGTCCACTGTTTTATAAACAGTGATAATTTTACTGCTTAGTTCAGGAAACCAAATTACCCAAATAAAAAATAATTTTTTAAAAGTGCAAGTAATTATGAAGGAATGCAATCTTTGTATAGTCTACTAATTATGAATTCAAATTAATATATAATATACCAAGTATTGAAATAATAAAATGTTAATGTAACATTTTATTAAGAGAGATTCAAGTTTTCTAATTGCATTAACTTGAAAAACTAAAATTTTAATTATATAATCATTCCCGAACAAATGTATTTGATTGAAATTTTAATTTAAATATTAAGAGAGATTCAAAAGTTTGCCATCTATAAACTAATAGAAATTCAAACCCTAAATGCTGATATATTGTTTCTGCCAGAATATATCAGCATTGTGTTAAAGAGTAATGCTAAATTAAAAAATTGAATAGAATTCTTAATAAATGACAAAAATTTTGAAGGGGTAAACAGGAATGCACGAAGATATTTTTAATTTTTCATAAAATTCTTTCTTCCAAGTTTTAGAAATCTGTAATTTTAGATTAATCCAGATGTTGTACATATTTTTCTTTATAAACAAATCAACAAAAAGAAATCATGATAAATCGGTTTATAAAACACAAAATAAAGTGATGATGGTACAATTGTGGTTCTGTGAGAACCACAATTTTATCAACTTAAATTCATTTATTGATCAATGCTGCCAATTCATCAAATATAAATCTTCGTAATTTTTATTTTTCTATTAATTGCAATTTCTGACAATTTTTACATATTTGAAATTTAATTAAAATATGTTTATTCCTTTTTAAAAAGTCTATTCATACTCAGAAATATAATAATCAATTATATTGAAATTGATTAATTATTAATATTTGCATATTAATTATTTTCTTGTTTTAATGATGTTTATCACAAGGATCGAGAAAACCTTGTAATTGACACCAGTTAGGACACGTCATTCCTATCCTAACTCGCAATAAGAGTTGTAAAATAAATCTAAGAAGAAGGGCTAATTATCAATGAGTGGGGAGAATAACAGGTAAGTTGATAGGTGTCAATTGAAGGAATAGACAAATTGAGTAACAAAAATTTAAACAAAAATAAAATTTAATGTATTTATATATATCGTATAAAGAAATTGACTTAAGTATAAACAAACTAAATAAGCTAAAAATACATTAAAATTAACCCTAGATGAGAGAGAGTTTACAATAATATTTAATAATACCTCTATTGATAATTCCAATCTTGAACTTTTATAACAATACGTTGATTAGGTGGAAATTAAGTAGCAAGAGGAGACCAGGCACAAAATTATAGCTCTTTAGAAACTGAGATCCTAAATTCAGATTCTCACAATAACCAAGGATTTAAAGTGTTATAATTTTCCACTAAGTACACTATTTAAAAATTAATCTATCAAACAAATATAGAATGTCTTCTTTCTGCCTACAGGGCAGAAAGTTTTTCTATTTAACTCAAATATTTTCTTAATCTTATGTGAGATTATTATGCTAATGTTTATATTATCAATTAGTGCATAGATAGTGTTTTTAAATCTCTAATATGTATACAGGACAGACAAGATTAATTAGCAACTTCACACTTCACTTGCAAATTGACATACAAGAGTTGTAAGTTTAATAGTTTAGACTTTTCAGTTGTAAATTTTTTTTAATCACCACTCTATAAATTAAATATCTTTTATTCTAATAACTTAATTTTGTATTTTTATTCAATAAAGAATTCTCTCTGTTTATCTTATGAAATTTAATAGATTAATATATACATTGTGTAGGCTTAACACTAGAAATAATGACTATAAGGATTTCTATTTATGATTGGATTATTCTATTATCATCAGAAATGTTTTCAAACCCATCCCAGCTCATCGTCTGCTAATTTAAAAAGAATTATGGATTCTATCTTCGAGCTTGTTTCTTACAAACATATCAATTAGCCAGATTAAAGATTAATAAAATATTATTGTATGTTTTAGATAAAAGACGTGAAACTTAGTCTTAATACCGACATTTCATAATTACAACAAAAAGAAAACATTTCTGTTTGTGTTGCTAATTATTATCTTAACTTAATGTAATAAAAGGAGTAGGATAAGTTTGTCTTCAAATATTTTGTATTTCTCAAAATAAAAAAAATTATTAATATATTTAACAGTTTAATCTTGCTCTTATTCCATGAAATCTCAAAATTAGTATACAGGTTAAAGTTTACATACAATGAAGAAAAGATTGAAAAAGATATATGAAATTAATCAGTTTTAATGTTAAGTCGCTATTATTTTACACGTTTTCACATAGACAAAATGAAAAGAAACCCTAGAATAGTGCATAAAGAAACATACACACACACACAAACAATATTTTAAAATATTTAAAAATTTAATGAGTGCCTGAAATTTGATGTTATTTTTTTGAAATAAATAATTTAGTTTAAAAATGTTTTAATTAGAATAATGAATTATCAATTTAGTCTTTAAATTTTCTGTCAGATTTACCAGTACCATGTATTGATCTAGATAAACTGAAAACACTAATTATTAAGAATTATTGATCAGAGTATTTCAGGTTTTAAGCTGTAGTTGATGATAATGCAAACTGACCTGTCTCGGTTCTCCAAGAATCTTCGGCTTCTCTTTCGACAGATAATTCTCTACCTGTAAGAAGCCTGTAATATCCCTTTAACATAAGAATTAATTCCTCAACTTCTTTATCCTCAAGGCTGAAACAAAGATTCTAAAAAAAATTTTCACAAAAATCATTATATTTTTCGAAATCACTATTACAATGTAAATCATTAAAAAAACCGTAAATAAAATACCTCTGCTTCTGGATCTTTCATGAATATCTCAATACAGTATGACATTTCATCTTCCTTTGTTACCTGAACTGATGACATATCTTCAATTTGTACTAATGTATAAGGCTGTAAATAATGAAAAATGCAATTTTATGGCAAGTTAAATAAAACCTTTTTTTAATGTTTGTATATTTTAAAAATGATAATTAAATGTAATTACCATGTTGCCCCTGAGATATGCTATTTGACTAATACCGTATTTTGGACTAATTAACAGAGCAGTATCACTTGAAGAATCCTAAGTACAAAAGAAAATTCTGTCATATTTAACCATTACACTACTTTTAAAAATATATAAGTAGGGATGGGAACCCATCCCTACTTGTTTAGAAATTATTATTATTTAAATCTTAATGAAAAAACATTTATTTCAACTTTTAATACAGGACACATCTTTTTTCTCCCAAATGCTACAATTGATGGTTGATCTTTATAGATTGAGTGGAGTGCAAAGAAAAATAAGTGACACAACTGTATCATTGTCATCATTAAAAACTCTATGTGCTGTGAAATAGGGCATTATGCAGCCACCATATTATATACATTCTCAGTAAAGCTATATGGGATACTGCAGTATATTGTTGTGACTAACTAGTCAAGATACTATACATATATAGGAATAATTACATAATAAATTTAAATGTATTAATTAAAACTTTAATGTAAAAAACTGTTTGTACATCAAAATATTTTAAATTCAGTTCCTGGCAAAACTGGTTATATGGTAAACTTATGTCTGATGATGCATTTGGTTTGTACACAACAAACATGAGATCAGTATTGTCTTACCTTACAAGCTTCACTCCATATATGAACTAAATTATGATTATTTGATCATTTATTTGGAAAATGGGAAATTTTCAGTCATTAATGAACTATGCAAAGTCAAAATTTAGATCTTTCTTTCATTCCTAATCCTAATTTTTCTTGCTAATTGGCTTTTAACAATTACAATATGGATGAATAAAGTCAAAAATATCAATACAAACATAAAACAATTGTTTCTGTACCCAATTCAAAGTTAGATAATTTTTGTTAAATTTACTTTATTTACTAATGTTAATTAAGAAATATTATCATCCTTTACTATACCTTTAGACTTGTCGAAAAACATTTTGCACCATAACTTGGCAATTCACTGATAATTTTCAAATAATGGAGTTTTGCTTGAAGAGCTGTAAGTTGTTTTTGTCCAGGAGCACAAAGTGACTGATTTTGTTTGAGGAAGTGACTAAGAAGTTTTCTCAATTCTTTTCTTTTCATAGTTTCGAGTAATGAAAACGGAACAAATCGATCTAATCCACATTCTCTTCTAAATAAATGAAAATATGATTTTATTCCTTATTTCTAAATTTTACACTACAGTAGCTCCCGCAAACTTGACTTAATGTGGATGGAGAAGGTGATGATTTACTGAAAATGATGAGTTTTATGGCATAGTGACAATATTATTCTAAATAGTAGAATTTTCGTAAAAGGTACTATATGTACAAATTCATATACTTAGTCACTGTTCATATATACATAATATTTCTATCTGTAGTTAAATTTTAATTTAAAAATCTATTGGCTATTCAGTGGCTACTTTAGAGTTAGTAACATTCATGTTGTGGTATCTGGAAAAAGGACTATATTCTTTGTTAATACATAGCATCAATTCTATTATCTAGTGTCACAGGTGGTGAATGATAATTCATTTAATCCTAGTGTTGTTATACAGATAAAAATAAATACATGTAATCTAATTTTTTTGACAACATGACAAGTTTTACAGAATGTTGAGTTATTTAAAGTCAAGTTTCTGGGTCTCTACTGTATTATAATTAAGACTTTTTTTTCAATTTTAAGATGAATATCACTTATGATTGTGTATTTGATAAGTGCAAGTTAATATAAACATTTACAAATATAACATTCTTCAACTCTAGCATATTTATAAATTTACAAAAATTAAAAATTAATTACTCAATTGCTTTAATTGTTAGTTTTCCCTGAAATCCACTGCTGAGTGCATGCTGTTGGATATGGAGTGCTGAGAGCCTCAAAGCAACATCATACTTGAGTTCGGGGGCAAATCTTTCTTGTACAACATCATTACAACACTAAACAAAGAAGTTAACAACATCAATATAATTCATTCTGAAGAGAAGAATTCCAATTTAATAATTATTGTTTACCTGAACATAAAGATACTCAAAAGCACCCGGATCTTTTTGCAAGAGATCGTAAGCATCTTTAGGAACGAACGTTACCCGAAAAAGACATCTTAAATGATGAGCACCCGGTCGGGCTGCAATCTGAAAATTAAATTAGTAAGTATTACATTATAATTAGAACAACAAACTAAAGTGCAATATAATAATTAAATTTATTTTTAACCTTTTCAAGAAGAAAAAAGAATATTCAAATGGCAATAGCTAATTATATTACACTTATGCATTTAAAATGGGTCTGTTTAGATGCCATTTTATTCAATAACCATCTAGAATTAAACTTTGATAAAAAGTTGTTATATAGCATAAAATATTTAAGATTTTGGATTGTTTTCATAATATATTGAAGACTATTTTTTCATTAATAAGTCTTTTTCTATTCAAACATTTTGATCAGGTAATTCAGCGCGACCAGAGTAACTATGTAAAGAATGGTCCAAAATCTGTTAATGAAGATGTATGTTAAGATTAGTCTGGTTTTAATTCTTTAAATAAAGTGAGTAAATCACAAATAATGAATTAATTAAACCATAAGTAACAATATTTAGCTGTTTTAAAATACTCTTAAAAACAGATCAAAAGCCAGTTAACAAAGATATATCTCCTGTAACTTATACTTTACATTTATTTATTTATAGATGAGCATTGTCAAATAACTGACTAGCAACAGTAGCGATTCATTATCAGTCAGTAACTTAGCAGGACAAAATTTTACATGAAAAGTCATTATTAAAAAAAATTACTTTACCTTTGAAAGTGTATCCTTTGGATCTAAAAGTGCAAGTTTATTTCTTCTGGATGCTTTAATATGTTCTACTACCAAACTGAAATGATCAGAGCATTTGGTAGATAATTTTTCTTGTAATGAAGACAGTACATCCTGTTGTTAAATAAAACAATAATATCAATATTAATTTTAATTAAAAATAAAATTTAGTATATTCTGTTTTATCATAGAAAGTAGTGTTGCTAGAAAAAGTATTTAAGGTATTGTTCAATCTAATTTTATTATTTTTCTTAATAGATTCAACTTTTACTCTCCAATATTCTTGATTAATAATTTGAGGTTTTTAAGGATGAAAATTATTTATTTGCTTATTTTTTTGTCTACACATTATATATTAACTCAAAGATAACCACAAGAAAAGCTAGAACAGCATTAAATTTATGTGTGACTTAACTCAACCATATTGACCAGATATTTAATTTTATGTGTAAACTTTAATCACATGTCATTGTTCTAAATGTCAGTCGTTTTGATCGCTTTACAAATGTAAAAAAATTCTAAATATACTATAAGTGAAAGTTAAAAATATAGAATACAATGGTATCAAATCAATGCTTTTAAATTTGAATTATGTTATATGTCACAATGATGTAGATGCTTTTTTTAAAAATGGAAAGTATAGAATACTAAAGATTAGAAACAATGAGGAACTTTACTCAAAGTTTGCTGAGAATCTATTCACTATATGCTTGACATCAGTGGCGTTTAGGACAGGTTTCTAACTGTTGCTAATTGTTATTGTGTCATTAATGTTAATTACTTAAGCACCTAGGAAGGTAGATGTACAGTACTTGTATTGCCTGTCTTATTGAGCAAAAAATGATTTCTGATACCTATAGATTGTGTTGTATATCCTATATAATAATAATTAGATGACGATAGCTTTGTTGCATAAAAACCTGATTTTGTTAGTATCCCTATACTATTTTTGTTATGTTGCATGATTATGATTGTAGGAAACTTTTGACAGCTGAAGTAAATTGATGTTTTCTTGCATAAGGCACTATTAATAGTTTTCTTTTTCCTTTATCTTCATTATTATGCTTTTTGAAAGCTGTTTTTACAATGTTACAAACCAAATTCTTAGATAAAGAATATACAGGGATTAAGTACATTATAAATAGTTTTGAAATTATAATATAAATCTTCTTTCTTTTCTGCTATAGTCATTGACTACTTTTCAATATTTAAAAATGATAATTTCTGCTTTCCTACTTATTTGGTTATTTTCAAACACAAGTTCATTATTTTTAATGGAGTAAAAACAAAAAAAAAAAACACTAAGAGCTCAAAAGCATTATAACATTAGATTTTTTGACCTTACAGTCACTTTCAAGAACTTGCGTGAAAGTTCTGTTGTCATAGAAGCAAAATAAAGATATCTCCGAGGGGAGACATAGATATCTCCGTTACATTAGATTGTTAAAAAATATGAATCAAGATTTTTAACATTAATACAACAGTGACATGAATGTCTCCTTGGAGATGTTTTATTCTTTTTGCTTCCATGGCAACAGAACTTTCAAATGAGTTCCCAAAGATGAGTGTTAGGGAAAAAATTTTTCTTAATTGCAGAATAATACTTTATATCTAAGAAAAAATTTTGTTAGATATAAACAAAATTTTCAAATTAAAATAATGATATCATAGCTAATTTTTATTAATTTAAATTTTACAAATAAATTAATATCAGTTTAATTTTCATAATATATAATCATAATAATTTTACCTGGACAGTAGTTGTGCTATCATATTTAAAGGATTTTGTTTGTCCATTTTCAAGAAAAACTTTCAAAACATTTGGTATTACTGGTATACAAGAATCGAGTGGGGACGGCTATAATTTGTAATAACACCAGAAAAAATATTAAATACAGAAAAAATTTAAAAATTCATACACTAAAAGTTTATCTAATTATTTTATATTATTCTAAAGTAACTTTTATTCATTTAAACACAAAAGGGAATATTAATTAACAATAAGAAGCTTCTTTACAACAATATAAAAAAAATCTTTACATACGTAAGTACAAAGATCTGGATTGGTAATCACATAAATGTTACAAAAAGAATACATGAAAAACTACATTAAAAGAATTAAGTAGAGAGGTATACATGAAGATGTACAATCAATTAAGACTTGAAAGCCAAAACATGTAAACTATCCATAGAGTTCAAAACACTAAAATTAGTTTTTTGATTAAAATAATGAAAGTAACTATATACCTGATTTTACAATAAAAATTTTAGCTGTTTAAGAAATATGGCTCAATATTTAAATTTAATGTTCAACATTAATATTTTGATTATTATTGATTATAGTAATCACTCTTACAGATTGTGAAAACTATTTGTTGAATCCTTTTGTGAAACGATTTAATATTACATTTATTAAATCTGTCATTCTTCTTTCATTCATACAATTTATTTAAAAAGAATTGTCAGAATTACCTAAAACTACTTTTATCCCACTCTTCAAATAAAATACTTTATTTCAATGTATTAAAAATATTTTAAGTAACGACAACCAAACACTGATCTTTGTAAGTAAACTATTTAATAGAAAAAAACTTTATACTCACAGAATATAGGGGTGAACCGTTGATCACGACTCCTTCGGCAAAACGAACTCGAGAGGGATTATTTTTTAATTTGGCTTTCTTTGCTGCTGTAAGCAAAGCTGATTTACGAGTAGACTGGAAAGTAAATATAAAAACGGTCATTTAAATCATCATATAAAAATTTTAACCAAAATAAATGAAAGAAAACAGAATGTAATTAAAAGATGTCATTATGTACAGATTATTTGGCAGTAATCTTTTCAAACTTACTTGCAAAATTTTTAGTGTACTTTAAAATTCAATCTATAGTTATTATTTCATTAATAAATATTACTGATTTACAAGGAGAGAGTAAATCCTATACAAACGAATTTGATTTGGCTTTTTCCATGATATGAGACTTTTATGTCACGGGGCACTCATTCACAAGAAACGTTATTTTGTGACACAAACTGTTGTTAGTATATTATAGGTTATAAACTATGACCTGGATTCACAAATACCTCATATCAAAAGTTACAATGAAATTTCTCATAAGGTGCCAGATATGAAAAGTATCGCACTCACAAAGCACGTTATGTTATGCTATTGTAAAAAGTCTCATAAATACTACTATATCTAATAGCTCTCGTAAGCTGTTTTGCTAGTGATTGAGTATTTGGTTCTACAGATAATTGAGTTGGTCGTTTTTCTAATTAATTCTTAGAATGTTTGAATCAGAAAAATTTTAAAGATGTTAGTTAGCCCAATTGATTATAGTAATAGTTTGGTTTATTAACTATTAAGTGATTTGGTACTAGAGGTAAGCTTTAGTTGCCATCATCATTAATTAATACATTGGGCTTTGTGATGTTTATATATGTATATACACACCATGCTGGGTGGGATAGAGAGCTGTCTGAGTGCCATAGTGGGTGATTATAAGGCTGTGGGCATAGGAGTCATCCCCAGTCAGCGTTGTGAGTAACCATGGATGATTATATCTATGATTAAGTATATATGGAAGTGAAGAATCACTCAAAGATCTGGGTAGCATAACTGGCAAATCATCTGCATAGTAAGCAGGAGTTGTAGGTTTGAGTCCCACTCTGGGCCAATTCTTTTCTTCCAGAATATTCTAAATTAATTTGTAATTATAATTATTAAATTTAATAAGAGATGGCACCTAACACTTACTTCTAGTACCAAATTACTTAATTAGCCTGATTGATTACGGTGATCATTTGGTTTATTATTAAGTGTTATATTAATGATTATATATGTTCTAAGATTTGATTTAATTCCACTGTGAAGAATTCTAACTGTTTATAGAATGTTGTCTGAAAAAAATCTCATTCATGATAAGTTAATGTTATCTTTTTTTTTTAAACCAAAAATTTGAAATAAATTGATAAGCTAAACTACAGTTGAGCATCGATTTATCCAAATCAATTGGGGATGGAGACTGGGGTTGTTTGGAAAATCGATTTTTCAGATAACTGATTATGTACAAAAAAAATATATTAACCTATCCCATGTTGAAATTCATTCAAATCCTGGCACATCCTTAAGTACCCTCTCATGGTCGCACCAGTGCTGTCAGTTGAAACACGCACACCAACACAAATAATATTGGAGTAGCCCAAGACATAGCCAAAGATTGCAGTGCCACAGCACTAGCAGAAATTTAAATTTGCCGACTGGAAAGCTTTCGGTTAATTGACATTTCGGTTGATTGATATTCGGATAATCGATGCTCTACTGTACTTCAACATTTCTAATAATATAACTACAAATTTCATTTTGAGTAGATTTTGTCAGTTGCCTCGGATTTTGTTGGTATGCCCACATGACCTCACTGCTAATTTTGCAAAAACAAAGGGCAACCCATGTGTTTTCCCGTTCATTGTGGTGTTGTTTTTCTCATTATGCAAGTATTATCCTCATGCCTAGTCAAACAACTCCTCTACGACAGCCGGATGGCCAAACAATCAATGATTTGACAAATCCACATTTGATCCCTGGACCCCAGAGCAACAGTCTGCCGCTCTGGGGACCTGGAATCGAATGCGTTGAAAATTTGTTTTTTCCAGGAATTTTTTGGAGAGTGGTCTGTCTGGATATGTTGGGCCCCATCCCTCACCATTCGGCTGTCCCATTATGGGCCTGGCCGAACCCATAATGGGCTTGCTAAAAGAGTTAAAAAAAAAAAAAAAAAGCCAAACAATTCCATTGTTTTCCTTTCTTTTTAGCTCCATCATAGAATCAAAGAAAGTTTCCAGAACCAGCAGCCCTTTGAATGCCATGTTAAATATTTATTTATTCTCTTTACATTAGTCTTTAATACTAAAAACAATAAGAAATTATTATAAAACACTATATTTATTCTTTATAAAAATGTGTTTTTTGTATGTATTTTGGAGTGTCTAGAATGAATTAATTGGATTTACATTGATTCATATGGAAATAATTGCCTTGGTTTTCACCAATTGTTTTCGGATGGATTATTGATAAAAACAGAGGTATCACTGTAATTACTCTAACTAATTTCTATCCATTTTAATTCTAAAGAAATAAAATGTTATCTTTCCTCAGATCACAGATTAAGTACAATGCACAGCAAAAAAATTCTAAAAGAAATGTCTTTCCATTGGGTTTATTAAGATGGAAGCAGTCACTAGTATTGTCATAAGACACTCAACTTACAAGAAAACAGTATAAATTGGTAAGTGCTACAGTGTTTTGTGTGTATGAAATGTAAAAATATGATTGATTTCTTGAAACTTTACAATATTGGAGAGATACTATGTCCTATGTTACGAGACGTTTGTGAATCCAGGCCCAGACTTTTTTATTGTATTCATAAATAAATAAATTTTTATTATTTTAGTTAATTTGATTTCTGGATGGTCTATAAATTAGGCCAAAAACATTTTTTAAAACCAGAACTATAAAAATAAAGCTGCATTACAAAAAAAGCACGTCTTTCAAAATGATTATATAAAAAGTTATACGTTTTGTAGAAATTACTTCAAGAATTAACACAATGTTAGTATTCTATAAATAAAAATATTTAACAAATTCCACTATGACTTGATTTGGATCCTACAGACAAAGCAAAATCCACTAGATTTAATCTTTAATTTAACTATTTATATATTAATGTCAAATTTTTACTAATTAGATGTCATAAAAGTTTCAATTTAAAAGCAGTAGACCCATTATGATAATTTAAGTTGTCATGATGAGTCTACAATTTCATCACACAAAATCTGGATTACAAATATACTTTATTTTTGTTACTGTTTAAAGCTTTTAGTATAAATACTAAAATTAATTTTTATTGAAGGAAAATTTATTATATATATATATATATGAATGATAAACTAGAAAGTGAAAAGACTTAAAAAGAAATACATTAAAAACTGAATTATTAGATTTTACTCTCAATAAATATAAAATGGAAGAAGCAAATTTTATGTTTTAACTAAAATTTGCTTCTTAAAAGTATTCTAGCTGTATGTGGCAGAAAAAAATTTTTATTTTATTTTTTCTACTTTAAATATTTTTGCTTTTATTTTTAACTCTCCCTGTCTTATGGGAACTAAGAGAGCCTTTTTATCATGTTCATTAAAGATATGGTCAGATGGCGAAAGATGGAGCCCGACACATCGAGGATAGACCAATCACGAAAAACTCCCGAGGCTGGGGCTTATGCCTGAACTGCCTCGGCCATCTGGCCATCATAATAATTGCTATTCTCAATTCATTATTACCTTAAGAAGTTATGAAGTTTAATTTGTATTCTAATATAAAGCTAATATCAGCAATATTTGCCAGATACAATTTCTTATTTTTGTTACCACCAAAAAGGGGTTTGTGGGCAAATAAACAAATTTGTTATGTCTTTTCAATCCAATGTTCACCAAAGGTCAAGAACCACTGTAAAGATCTGTGAATTAAAATTGTCTTCTGAGTGATTCTTGACCTCTGGTGAACATCGGTTTGAAAAGACAACAACTTTGTTTATTTGCCTACAAACCTTTTTGTGGTGGTAACAAAAATAAGTAAGTATTCTGTTAATAATTCTAATATAGAGAAGTTAGTTTCTTAGTTTTTTTTTTTTCAGTTTTGAAAAAACTTTATTTGGATAAAAGTAAGTAATTTAAATTAGCACTATTTTTATAATATACTTGATTTGACAGTTGCTTTACATAAATCAATTTGTTTTAAAGAAGTCAATATCATGTTCTATCACTTAAATAATTTTAGTAATGTTTATTCTCTAATATAAAAATTATACATGACAAAATAGATTAGGTTAATATAAATTTTTACAAAGAATATTGTAAGGTTTTAGATGAAGTTTGTCTGATTTATTAAATATAAAATTGTATTAACTTCTTTAAACATGCCAATAGTTAAATGGCTCCTTACATTAATACTCACTAAGACTGGATTGCAATTATCAAGAAAAAAGTTTTTTTTAAATATGTTAATAAAAAATTTCCTATTTTTATTGTTTTGTTGTTCAATTTATTATGTTCTCTTAAATTTATAAACTCATGATAAATAAATAAATTTTGTAAATGAAGATAACAAAAATGCATCAAGGTTTAGTAAGTTTAATAATCTATTAAGAAGAAATAAACTTACATATGAATCATAGAGAATGTACAATAGAAGAATCTTGTTCAAGTCAACTTTAAAAAGTAATGAAAATTTATGTGGTATTTATATAATTATAATTATATAATCAATTAAACTAAAGTGTTCAGAAAGTCATCAACTTAGATTTATCATTTTTCTTAAATCGGTAATTTTATATCAAAATGCGGGATAGATGTATAAATAATTTGGAAATTTTTTTAATAGTAATATGAGAGAAATTATGATATAAAATTTGAATAAGAAATTATTACTTACATTATTTGCATATGGTTGGCACACAGTTAATAGTACAGAATGTTTGCAGGATCTGTACACAGAAATGATCATTATTAACAAAAATTTTAAATAATCTATTCAACTTTATAAGCATGTTAGAATCTATTTCACATTTACTAACAATAAATAATGTTTGTATTAAACTAATAGTATACTTAGTTAGTATTTAACAAGGCCTGACCGTATGTACTTTATATTTGCTAATTCACTTATCTGTAGTTATAAAAGCATAACTTATTTCACAATCCACATATATGCAGCCGTGGGCAGAAGCAAAAAAATTCTGAGAAGTATTGTGCAGTATGATACTTCTCAGAAATGTGCCCACTAGAGAAAGCTGCAGTTTTGTTTTTGTATTTTTGATAATGGCAATGAAGCAGCATGAAAATGTTTGAACAAATGCTCCTAAGCAGAAATGCATTTTAATGAGCTTAATAAATAAAAATTTGCATTCTTGATGTTCGATCACTCTACAATTGTGACCATGCATCATAGTTATATATACTGAAGAAGATTGGCAGGAACCTAACTTCATTTTCCCCAGGGGATCAATATTTCTGTAACTGTGATGTTTCTATAAATGTAACCTCACAGATAATGATTGATTGTACATTATTTTGTTTTCATTTTTATTTTATTTTTAAATTAAATGTTAATATAACATTTAACTATTTTTATATGAACCTTAAAATTTTCCATATTGATTTTGTAATGCATTAATTGTATTTAGCAAAACAAGGGACTATCAAGCAAATCTCTCCTTCAAAAACTGTTTGAGGAGACACTGCCCTTGTCACTAACTATGTTACTGGTCAGAGATCAAGTTTTTTCATTCAAATGATGTTACATATTTATCGAATAATAAATTTAATTTTCATATTAAAATTTCACGATTAAAAAAGAATTTAAAAACTTAAAAGCATTTACAAATTATAATAATAGTTGTATTTTCAAATAATTTTAAATGTCACAATACTGATGTACTGTACATCTTAATCTGATCAATAATAATTTTTCATATTTATTTCCTTTACCATATTTCCATGCAAACATTCTTATGTGAAAAATCATTATTTTTGTGTTTTTGAAACATATCCTGCTTTACTTGTAAGAAGAAACCTTACATGCAAGAGCACTGCATTACTATATATAGTAACTATTCAGTAAATCTCTGTGGTAACAATTATTAAAAAGCACTTGCTTTTAATACTTTTCAGGTAATTTGGGTAAAATCAGCACAATATTCCTCATCTATAAGAGCATTCTCTTACATGCATGGAAACATGGTAAAGCAGTACAATCTCAGTAATCTGACATATATATGGATCCAGAATGGTTGGATTATTGGAAATAAGATGAATTCAATGGTCTAATCATTTGGGAAAAAACAATTTTTATATTTATACAGTATTGTATTATAAGATACTGTACCTTTTTTGAATGACCTAAGATAACAAGCCTTGTAATCTTGAATATTGTGATTGTGATTGAGCTTCAGCAGTGGCATAGCGTGGGTGTCAGCTGCCCGGGGCAAAGGAAAATTTTGTCGCCCCTATTATTTAGGTATCTCAATTTAAAAGACTAAAATTCAGTTTCATCACAGAATAAGTAATGAAAAATTCCGTGCTAGTGTTGCCACCTTTTTAAAATCGCTGACCTGGATGACGGGTGAGGTTTGTTTGAACAGAAGTTCCTGGTGCATGCGTATGTCATTTTGCAACGCAAAGAATAATGTACTGTGCATGCGGTTCTAAATGATTTACAGTTAGCAACTTGGGAGACTTGGGTAGGGGTAATGTAAGTAACCTAGATGACTTAGATCTATTGGATATTGGAGGTGTATATGAATATGAATGAATTGTACAAGCAAAAAAAAAAAGTCGACAGGTTGTGCATGAAATCCTGGACTGTCTGGATGGTAACACTATTCCGTGCTCATTTCACTCAGTCCGAATTGTAGGTGTGACGAAAATATGTGATGAAATGGTTCAAGTTTTTACAAGATATTATTATTATTTATTGTGAAATTTTGCTGCCCCCATTATGCTACGCCACTGAGCTTCGGTGTTCAAACTCATGTTAAAGCCATCAAGCCATGTTTAGTGGAAAGCTTGTTTATGACTTTGGAAACGTGTAGGTCAATAATACTTGAGAGCGATTACTGTCAAATTACCGAGACTGTACTCTAATTTTGGCTAAGAAGAAAGAATCTTAAAGAATTTTTAAGATTCTTTCTTTTCAGCCAAAATTAGAGTAACATTGTAAAAATTCTTTACAAATGTTATGGGTTATTGATCTTTAATGCAGATAATGATCATATTTTAACATTATGAAAAATGAAAAAAATGTATTATTTAAATAGAGAAAAAATGTTGTTTACCTGACTAATTCAATTACATGTTCACGAGGCGATTTTAAAACATCTTCTCCATTAATTTTCATAATCTGATCACCTGGCAAGAGTTTATTTTCACTTGGTCCACCTGAGAATTAAGATTTAATTTCAGCAATGTAATACAGTTAAATTTATTTGTAAGTAAAACATTCTACTAGTTTTATAATAATTACACAGGAAATCCTTGTTAATTGGAACTCGGATAGTTAGTAACCATACTTTTGTCCCAACTAGGGATATGGGGATTTACATGTTAAGGAATTTGGTTAGTTCAAAATACAGCTACTTCAAAATTCAAAGTGAAAATTGTGTCTAAACTGTGTGATATGTGTACATTAACTCATTCGTTTAGATCAGTGTTTCTCAACCTCTAGCGAATCGTCGCCCCCTTCAATAAAACTGTTACGTAGTATCGCCCCCTTCACTACAAAATTTCAATGCCGAGGGACAAGGCTAACACCAAATTCACATTGCATTGAATAGACTAGTGACTAGTATAATATTATTTGTTTAATTATTGTACGATATAACAAATAAAATATCTAATTATTCTTAATATAATGTTTTACTATATCGCTCAGAAAATTGTTTTTCGCCCCCAAAATATAAATTGTTACTAATCGCCCCCTCAACATGGAAAAAAGCCCACATGGCGCAATATCACCCCCATTGAGAAACACTGGTTTAGATCAAAGTACCTCCATACTATAACAGAACAACAATAGACCAAGAATAACTAATCTGGTCAATATGGCTTTGCTTTTAGATTAACTCATTTTTAAGGGTCACCTTACACGTCTTTTTTCCTCTTATCTCATAAAATATGGCCTGTTTTCAGGATTGGGCTACAAATAGCAAACTGAGATATTTGTAAGCTCTAGGCTACTATTTGGACCCTTTTGAAGATAATTTGGGCTACATTTCAAAATTAGGTTTTCTAAAAAGTAAAGCAGATCTGGCAACCTGTGAGGTTATCAATGGACATATGCTGTTTACCTGCTGTTTATTATTAATTAACAAAACTGCTGTTTATTATTAATTAACAAAAACAGCATTCTGTGTATGTCTCTGTATTCTGTTTGCTTAATAAATTACATCAGTTACGTGATATTTGGCATATTGTACAGAAATATGTAAATCTCGATAATTCAAAGTCGCGATTATTTTGTCCCTCAAATTTCAAACTAATGAGGATTTCCTGTATATATAAAATGCAGTATTTTTTGTCAAACGATCGCCTAAATATCGGGCTACTATATGGCTAATTAAATGATTATTGTTAATATTTAAATATTAACAATAATCATTTAATTAGCCATATAGTAGCCCAATATTTAGGCGATCGTTTGGCAATTTATTATATATACAATTCGGGCTTTAAGTTGTTGTTATTTATAGTATTTTTTGTAAATTTAAACACAGATAACTAAGAAATTTCCTCCTTAGTTTATCATTGATACTAAATGAAAATTGAATATGTTAATACAGGGGTGTCCAACCCGCAGCCCAAGGCAAGTTCCAATGCGGCCCAATAAAGGTGTAAACAAAACCGACAAATGTTTTAATTTTATTATTATTTATTTATTTCAACGGCATAAACTCAGAAAAGACGTTTCACAAAGCCATAAACCTTTATTCATATTTTAATTTTGAGTGAAAATTAAATATTTTCATGTACTTGGAGATGTGTGAATGAGGAAGGATTACTAAATAAAGCTGGAGTTGTGACTCAAAGGATTATAGACCCAAATTTGGTGAAAGGAGAGAAAGGACAAAAGATAAAAAGTTGTCAGAAAGGTTAAATAGTTCTTCTGTTAGGCAAATATTGAGTCTTAATTTTCCAACCTTTCTCACTTCTTTATCTTTTGTCCTTTCTCTTCTTTTTCCGAATTTGGCTCTATAATCCTTTGAGTCAAAACTCCAGCTTTATTTAGTATTCCTTCCAGCGTTGCAAGATTTGGCTACATTGCGCCAAATGTGGCTACTTTTTTTAGTTTAACGTAAAAAAATATCATTTGGCGCTTTGGCTACTTTTGGGGCTACATATCATTTATAAATATATTAGTTGAATAAAAATGCACTTTAAAATGGTGTTTCGTCGCTTTTTATTAATCAGAGACTCAAATAAACCAAATATTTGCGTTTTATCAAATAAATGAATTTATCTATTTCTAAGTAAAAATTGAAAGTGTCTGTAGAAGTAATTTTTTAAAATATCCTGTTTCGTGATAAAGTTTTAATACTTATTATTATAATCTAGACATGTTAATCCTTAAATATACTTGTATATTGGGCCACAAGTATATATTATATATACTTGTGGTACAAAAGTCCTTGACTTCTTCCAATGCGGTCCAGAGAAACAAAAAGGTTGGACACCCGTGTTAATATATTATATTTTATACATTTAAATTATGTAAGTTTCCACAAATTCATAAAACCAAGAAATGCTTAAACTTCTAAACCAGATGATTGTCATAATTAATCAGGCTGCTATTAATAATTAGAAATTAAGTAATTTGGTATTAGAAGTAGATGTTAGGTGCTCTCTCTTATCTAATTTAATAATAGTCCAATTAATTATGGTGATTGTAANATTATAATTATTATAAATTATTGTGAGATAGTATAAAATAAACTGTGCCACTTTGTACACAACATTAAAAAATTTTTAAAAAATTACTGGTTTGAGTTAATGAAGTCAGCAGAATGTTCAACAGGATTTGTAAAGGTTATTAATTTTAATGAAGTACTTGGCAGATGCATTTTCTTCTTCTTAATTCGTATAAAATCTTGATAAAAACTAATCATACATATAACTGAAAACACTTACAGAAGAAACTGAAACTTACTTTCCAAATTTCACTTAATACATAATTTTTCATAAAACATTTATGGTTAAAATAAAATAGCCATAATATATTTCTCTCATAAAATTATTTTTAAATTATAATAATAAAATAAAATACACAATAAATGAAAGAAAAGAAAAAAATATATATATGATAAAAGAATCTTGTCTAATTTTTCTTATTTAAAATGTAATTAAAATGTTGTCTTAACATTGTCTGTTGAAACAAATCAATGGAATTATCCATATGACTCCATAAATATTTCGGTAATCATTAAAATTTAATTTATGCATCCATACATAAAAAGACTGTTTTCAAGTCTGGTGCTTTGGAATTAATTATAACAAAAAAATCATTCTTCTCATGTAAACTAGTATTTAATGACTTATCAGGAAAAAAAAGAAGAAATGAAGACGAAAATACTAATCCAAAAAATTAAACTTCTATTGTGTTTAAATTATAATTTTAAATAATAATTAATTTTTAAAAATTTCAAACTCAATAAGATTTAAATGCAGTTTAATCAGACTGCAATTTTTGTTATTAAAATGATTTTGAATGCATTTAAACTTTTTTGGAAAGTTTGTATATGAAGAAATAAAATATATAAATTAATATTTAGATTATATTACAGTTGCATAAAATAGCTCAATTGTGAAAAATATAAGACATAATTACCTTCGGTCACAAATCTAACAATAACTGGCTTTTCACTACCTGCGACAAAACCGAATCCTACATGTGGATCGCGTATCAATTCTACGTCCCTCGGCTGTGGCGGTTCATCATCTGTGTCTTTGTGGGGATCTTCATATGTCGTCGTCCTGTTGATGTGGCTGTTATAAATTAAAAACTTTAAATTAAAATGTGCAGTTGGAAATAAGCATCATAAAATATTTATTTGAATTTAACTTTTATCAATATCTAATTAAATACATTACTTAAAATAGTAAACTCAGAAAGAGATAGGAGGAAACCATTTTGATAAAAAGTTATTTGTAAATATTAATATCAAAATATATATAATAATACAATAGACTGTAATGAAATGAATACGTAAAAAGTTTTATTTTTATTACTGAAGATCACATGAAAACATTACAAGATAACAATATTGTAATTATATATATTTTGATTTTAAAGCTTAATTTGAAAGTTTTTTTAAATTAAAATAATCAAAAATATTATTATATAATATAGCTTTAATCATTCCTTTTAAGAATTATTAAAGTAGCAACAGATGATAATATTTTTTGAAGATTGATTGGTAGGGAGCATTTTTATGTCTATCACAATCTATTCTGACATTTATAACTTAGTTTTTTTAATTACTAGAATTCATTATCTTTAATTTTTGCTTTTTCTTCCTTTTTTTTTCTAAAAGGAAGAAAAAGCAAAAATTAAAGATACAAAATAATAATAATAATAATGATTAAGAACATATTCTCTTTTAAAGATACAGTAGAGTTAAATTTAATTAAAAAAAACAATAACAAAAAATATTGTAAGAAATTAATTCTTCTGTTACTGTAAAAATTTTGTTTATATTGAATCCTGAAACTGAGTTCTGAATATGAATAATTAAAAATGGAATCAGTTCTGTAGTTAGGAATAAACCATTGAGGGCTACAGGGAAAGCTGAGAACATTTTGACTGATATTTTTCTTAATTGGTTGCTTGTAAAAAATACATATGATATTTTTCTGTTCTCCACTCAATACTAAGCCTATTAGCTACATTTCAAGTGTAAAATACATAACAATAGCCTAAGTTTACACGATTAAAGCAAAAGCAAAAGCATATATTATATATACTGCATATGGGCACTGCCAACTAAGCTGAGGAGGCCCAGCTACCTCGTAATCCCCTTTAGCTATGCTCTGAATGGAATTGGTTGATAGATCCAGTATTGAAGCACAGATATTCTGAATTTGAATTTTTAATTTCATGCTAACATATATATTAACATATTCATATTTTCAATCTTAAAAGAATTGAAATTCCTTACTTAATGCAGATTAAATTATTAAAAGAAATAAATTAAGATGTTATAAAAATAGAGACCCTAGAGAAAACCTTTGTTTAAAACGAGTTCTATAGTAGTAGTGAGAAACAAACACTTAACAAAGACAGAATTTAAAGCTTCCTACACAGTTAATAATACTTGAGTGTTTTAATTACTTCTAAAATTACATTACATAAGAATGTTTTAACAGTTTTTGACTACATTAGTCTCTCTATCTGTTAAAAATTGAAGTAGCAATAGCTTTAATCAGAAAGTTAATCTAAAAAAAAAGAAAACTTAAGCACAGAAGCAGCATTTAACAAATATTGGATTATTTAGATATTATTTTAACCAATTTGAATTTTAAATGGAATAGTAAACCTTATAAACAGGAGATTGGTGTTCCAATGGGCTCTACAATATTGGATGATGATGTTGAGTTAGTAGTTAAAGGGATAGAAGAGGATATTAGAATTATACAGGTAGCAATATCATATGGTTTACTACGTAGTTATACTGGTAAAAACTACACAAAAACATTTAAACAAAGAAGTTACTGGAAGAAAATTCACAATCATTGGCAAATATTTATCTATGATAGCTCCATACATTGACAGTGAACATAAAATTGTGTGTCAGATGTTTACTAACAGCCATACAAATTGTAATGATCAGATGAAGATATAATAAAAGAACTAGATAAAGCTCTGGTTGTTATTATTTCTTTCATACCTCGTTATTAATTTTCACTTTCAAAATAAATTAAAATGTTTTGTTATATTTATTTAAAAGGACTTTTTATTATGTCATCATCATAATTATTATTAATAAGTTGACAAAAGTACAGCAAAAAATAGGTTTAAAACATCTTTGTTATGTTAATTTGTATTATTTGTAATTTAAAAATGTATTGTTTAATATATATGAAAGATTAAATCTTCTAATCAATTCCAGTAGTTATGATTTATCTAGATTATTTGATAAATGCTAGACATTATTTCTTTTTTCCTACTTAATAATAAAATATGATGCCACGGGTGGTAATCCGAGAACTGCATAGTCGATATAAGTCACTAACTCAGAATAGGATGCTTACACACAAGTCAAAAGAAATAGTCTGATCTACTGGTTTAAAATTAGGTCGATGATATGACTGAATCTCAAACTTGTATTTCACGAGACTCAAAACAAATACTGAAAGACAAAAGCTGAGTAATTCATGTGTTTGGATCAAACAGATAGAATTATTCAAAAGAAAGTAATATTCTTTCCCACACAGAATGTGAAATTTTGATATTGTTATAAGGAAACATTCCAAATATCAGATAAAGTTCATTAACAGGACATAAATACTTTAATCCAACATCAAAATGTAGTAAAGAAAATGCTAACTTTGTCAGATAAACTAGTTTGATCTAGCAATTATAGATAAATTTTATGATTTTAAATGATAGTGATAAAAGATGTCAACGGAACTATGCTTTCATAAATTTTATTATTCAATTTTTGATAATTTAAGTTATAGACTTTGTCCTAATTTTTGAAAAAGCTTTTGGAATATTTACAACCTAAGATCAAAATTATGGATTAACTTTGTACTCAAAAGTGTTGAGTACAAAGTTAATCCATAATTTCATCATTATTATTATTAATTAAAGAAAATAGTATTCTTTATACTTAGCCATATTCCATTTGTTTACTAAATTACATCAGTTACACAACATTCTGCATACTGTACAGAAATATGTAAATATTGGATGATTTGAAGTTGCGATTATTTTACCTCTTGAATTTTGAACTAATGAGGATCTCCTGTATGTAAAAATATTCACTTGCCTAAGACACTGCAGCAAATAATGTGTAGAATCTAAGCATTTTATACAATGAATAAATTATTTGATAATACTTGACATTATATTCAAGTTCACATATTATATTTCATAAATAAAAATAGAAAAAAAATGTAAGAGGCCAAATATTATAACTTTAGATATCAATAAGACATGAATCATTAGTTGTTAGCTCATTAAATATATATAACAAATATTTAGAAATAAAACTCTGACTAAATTCAACACAACCAGAAGGAAGAGTGAACAATCCAGATTATAACTTATATTTTATTGTTAATGGAAAATCACAGAAACTACTATATTTTGGTTTCTGTCAACTCTAGTTAGACACGCCTTTCTCTACTTTCCTATGTCAAACTTAATAATTAGACATTAATTAATAAATTAACTTTAAAAGATACCCAGAGAAAAGATTAAGCCGATGCAAGATTTGAACCACAGAGTTTCTGAAAACCTCATATTGGTATGTTAGTGTCACAAATTACACATCCAGATTGCTGCTCTAATTTTTCACATATAATTTAGATACTATGCAACAATCAGGTCCCTCATTATACTAACTATTCAAATATGTAGAAACCATGCTAGAATGAAGTTTTCAATTAAATGCAATTAAAAGGTCTGTGTACAGAAAATATCTACAAGTTATGCTATGGATAAGAAAAGAAAAAATAGGAAGATGGAATTATATTACTGGAAGGACACTACTGAAGTGAAAAACAGATTGAAAACAGAAATGTATAGCATAAACTTGAAAAGCCTTACATTCAATATACTCAATAAAATGATAATGTTGATGATATAAACAATTTATATATTAGATGAGAAATGTGATTACAAAGCTAAACTGGCCTCACTGACTGACTGACTGTCATTTTTTTTTCTGTAAGAAAGAAATTTGATTAATCAAAAGGAGACATTTTAAATTTTTCTGTTAATGTAGTCAATGCAAATAGAATGTGTTTTTCATTAGCATTAGAATTAAAAGAGGGTACTCTTTTAATTCTTTATAAAATATTGCAAAAATTCATTCTAATATATTTTATATACCTAGTAAAATATTTATTTGTGACCCCACCAATGAAATTCCCTGATAAAACTGTATAAATTTTAATATAAATCAAACTTCATATTGGTGGTCACCTTAATCTCATTTAACTGGACATGATACTCTGGAGTGTAATAAAGTGACATTTATCTCCATTATGTGGCCAATAGAGCAGGAAAACTCTGCATTCCTAAACTCAATGTATTGTTTAAATGCTTTAAATGAAATTGAGCTTTGTTGCTATATTTTCAGAAGAGTTTGCTAAGATCCCTTCAACATATGTTCAAATAAAATAAATTAAATTTATTTACAGAATTTAGTAAGAAAAAAGAATTATATATTTGTTCAATAATTTTATATAAAATTTTATTGCATTTTGTAGAAATATAACTATGTAAATCAGAGATGATCAGTCTACATCACTCAATTTTCAACAAAGAAAAATATCAATGAGCCTGATGTAAAAGCCAATTTAATTATTAATACTTATTTGACATTTAAGTCATTAATATGCAGAAGTGTCCATTTATTAAATTTGTTTTCTAAATTCACCTGTTACAATACAATATTTAAATAAAACCTTTAGTACCATTTCATAAACATACTGATTCTGTTTATAGGCACTAAACAATTTTGCTTACTACTATATTATACATTCCTTGAATGGACCGTATTGCAAACAGCTTGCATTCACTATATACATACCTAGTACAAAAGTGCAAATTACTGTATATTGCAAAAGATGTACTGTATAGTATTAGGTGATTTATTATTATTATTTGTTTATTTTTATAAATTGTATTAAACTTTTAGAAGGGTTCAGTATGGTATTGTAATTACAGTTCTGTATATCAATTTTGTCCTAATTTCATCTAGGTGACCATATCACTTATGTGACCAGAAATCATGTATCTCAGAAGTGGCCTTATAAGTGAGATTTTATTGTATATCAATCTTAGAAACTAAAAGTTCACATTTAATTTTTATTATTGACAGTAAATCTATAATCTTTTATTAAAAATTATACATAAAAATTAATTATTTTAATAGATAATTAAAAACAATTTATCTCAGAGTTAGGACCTTACTCCTACTAAACCATTGTACATTAATATAATTAAACATATAACTAACACCTTATCCTTGCCGAGAAATATAATTTATTTCAAACAAACATTTTCAGCCTGATTCACAGCCATCTTCAGGTTGAGAACCAAATTTGATTAAAGGATTCCATTAATGGAATACAAAATTCAAAATTAAATAAGCAACAGAATAAGATAAAATAAAAAATTAAAAATGTAAAAATGTACATAGAAGTATTAAGAAATACAATTATTAACACATCCAATAAAATTATTATTTTGACTGGTTAAAGCTCTTATTAAATTTCTTAACTATAAACTTCCATGCAGAAGAAAGACTTTCTGCATCCCTTGCATTTAAACAGCCTTACTGTATTTTGCTCCTATAAATCTGCAACTTTTCAGCTGTCAACGCCAAAGACGGGGAAGATAAAGGTTCTATAATGGCTGCCTCATTCCATTTGACTACAGATCCTGGTGTTTGGCCATTTGGGACAAAATTGTTGCATTAGACTCCTTTCTGATATTATAACTATGTTTCTTGATTCTAAGTCCCAGGAGTTTGGGACTTAGAATCAAGGAACATAGTTTAGCAGACATCTAGGGTCTAAGTAAGATGAAATGTAATCGCCAAACCGTGCTGTAAAAAGGCGGAAAAATTTTAAATTTAAAAATATAATTTCTTGTGAACAGCAGTTTGGGCCCCCCCTTCCAAATGAGCCCTGTGCCGGTGCACCTGTTGCACCTGCCTAGTTATGGCTCTGGAGGCATGTGTAATGTCATTTTACAGCCAAGAACTGAACAATACAGTTTTAAATCAGTTAGGGACTTACTTATGTTTGAACGAACCTAATATTTGCCAGAAATATTTGCAAGTTAGAATTTTAAAAGTACATTTTCTATCACTCAACCTAGGGATAAGATGGAGATAACTCTGGGTGTGGTGTGAAGTTAGTCTTTAACCGTTAAAATAAAATACTCGCAAATATTTTTATAAATTTAATTTGTTTTATCACAATTTCTACAAAAACTGGACAAATTAATAATTAATCCAGACCATGAATTTAAAAACCGGCTTGTCCGGCTGAAAACTGGCCTGGTGGCAACACTATATACATTACATTCATATCAATTAAGAATGATTACTCACTTGATAAAATAAGTTTTTCCTTCTTTATCAATAGCTGCTTCCCAACCGTATGGAAGACTCGATCCTCCAGAATCCCACGATTCGATTGGAGGTAACCACGATGACATTTTTGTCTCGTGACTGAAAATAAATTTTGAAAATTAAATTTCAAGTTTTTTTTTTATCTTAGAATTATATGAAATTTTATTTAATTAAAATTAAATTATTTAAACTTACACTTGTTACAACATATCTCATTAAAGTAAGAATGAGATTAGAATATTTTGGGAGACAAAAATTTTAATGATAGGGAAAAAAACTACATATTTTTAACATAATCACCCAGTCACATCAAAATCCAAATTAATATACAGTATATCAAGATTTTTACTGAGTAAAGAGAATGCATTTTAGGTAATAAAACTTCTCATTAGATTTTTTTTTATTAAGCAGAGATTTATTTTTTGATAATTGTATATACTGGCTGTAATTTATGGCCATATTATACTTAATGACTTAATCAAATTTGCATTTTGAAAGCTTAAAAGTTTTAAGAAAGTAAGTATATGTGGTATAAACTATAACTGGTATTATACAGCTGTCAAAAAACAATGTGTCATAAAAAAAAAAAAAGAGTTGTTGAGAGGTTTTAGTTATTTGAAATGCATTCTCATTTTCTTAATAGAAATACACTTGCTGTATATTTGTACATTTAGCAGATCTCCCAATAATCACAGTAATAAAAAAATGTCTTTTGTACAATTAAACATTATAGTATTTTACACACACATGCTTTATTTCTCAAGAAATTACTCAAAAGCAACTCTCCAATATTCTTTGAAAAAAACTATTCAAATTTTATGAATAATAATTAGGTATATAAACAAATATAAGTTTCATTTTGGTAAAAATATATTAAAACTTTTTAAATAAATGTTTCTTTATGAGACTAGCATCCATCTTATATGTTGTAAAATATTCCATTAATTCTAATTTTAAAGTGACACGTAATATTAAATTCATATTAATCAATGGTATGCCAACTTGAATTAGGTATTCTCTATCTTCCACTTATACATACATAATGACAAAATTAAATTTTAAGAAAATAATGCATTAAAACACATTATTATAGTTTTTATCATAGTGCATCAGTCAATGTAGAAGAATGTTAAAATTTTATCTTGCTTAATTTTGGTGCTATCTACTGAATCTCATTTTCTTAATCATGTTCTAACATATTGTTCAGGATTTAATCATCATCAGGCACTCTAATTAAATTAATTGCAGAACTTACAATTTAGCAGATATAATGTAATGTTTTGTAGAAGGGACTCAATGAGGTTTGTTTTATGCAACACTAAATTACAAGATGAGAGTTTTTTCATTTTTTATGGCAGAATGAAAATTATTAATATAAAAATGAACCAGGCTTTGAAATTAGGGATTCACTGCTACTCTAAAAATTTGCTGTAATAATTAATAAATGGTTCATGTGGACCTATCTGTGGCACTCCCGACGTTAATTAAATTGCCTAATTTTACATAACTTACGTGATTGCAATGTTGCATAAATAATTCAAAAATTATGAATAATAGTTTAATATGGAATTTAATGGAATAATACATGATGCATAACAGTTAAGAGATCTCTGTATATCATGCATCATTAAAATCTATAATATAAGTAAAGTATTACACTTACACAATTTTCCAATACATTTGATAAAATATTTCAAATTTTATGCATATTTCATTGTGTTCGACTTAATCTAAATTTCATACTCCGACAAACAATGAAATCTGTTAAATCAAGCATTTTAATTAAATCAAATTCACATTTAAACTGGAATATGTTCTCAGTGCTTTCAAGCATCACTGTTCATCTTCAGAGTAAAACATTTTATAAAATAAAAAAATTGACACAAATTAGCATAACTATAAAGAACAGAAAATTATTTTTTTTTTTAGTTATGCAAATTGACTTAAATTTATATAAAGAATAATTATAATAAAAATTCAGTTGACTTTTATGAGAAACTTACAATCAAATTTTTTATTAATTAACAACTGGACTACAATGATCTACTGGACAAATTTTAATCTAATAAGCACTGTCTTAAACTTTCAACTGATTTGGTTTAAATTCTGCAATTATTTAAATTAAACAATCAAAGCAATTATCTTTAATTTATCTTTTATATCATGGTTAATCTCACTGGTTAAGCTGTTTTTTTTTTTTGGAGATTTAACATTAAACGAACAAAAAACAAGCGAATAGATTAATTATTCAACTTAAAAAATTAGTAATATGTATTAATATGTGCACAAATATCTAATTTTAACATTATTTACATTTACATTACTCAATGTTGCATTTGTAAATTATTCTATAAAATGTATTTTAGAAAATATTACATAGGCATTTTTACAAACTTAATGATACATATTTCCTTAAATAGAAATCCTCTTATAGTAGTGAATTTAATGATAATTAAATCTATAAGAAATGTATAAATAGTTCTTATAATACATTTCATTTTATCTTTAATGTATGCCAAAAACAATTACTTTTTCAATAAGTAACATTTTTAATTAATTAAATGACAATTCAAATGGAAAAACATCTATTATTTGTACTATAATAAATTTTTAAGTTTAGATTGTACTTAAAAAAATCTGGAAATGTCCAAAAAACACCAAAGTTCCGTTATTAACCGGATATAAATCGTATTACCATATTTTATTTTTAAAATCCCCAAAATTACTTTAATAAACAAAATGTCTTCAGCTTATTTAAACTTTCCTAAATACAAACTGAATAGAATACAAATTAAATAAATGGAACACATTAACATTAGTATAATTGTTAATGCATTCCATTTATTTAATTTGTATTCCAGTCATTTTTACCCGAAAAAGATTTAAACAAGCCAAAAATGTTTGTTCATTAAAATAATCTCCGGTTTTAAAAGCAGGTATACATTACTTTTTCGTATTTAGAATTAATTTTTTCAAACTTTGTTATCTTCTTTATTACACGGAGTTTGCTATATTCATTATTTATCAATGCTACTTTCTAAAGTTACACGTGTAGTTTACTTTCTAAAACATTGAAAATTGGCTGACAAAATAATAATTTAAATAATCATATAATATATTCGAAGAAACTTTGTTTCATTTAATAAATAAAACTAGAAAGTTTATTAAATATATTTATACATATGGTAACTATAATGATGCAAATTTGCTACAATTAATAAGTGTGAAAGTTTTCACAAATTTTTTTACAAATGACATCCTGCTTGATATCTTCCAGCACATATTGAAAGCATCACTAATCATGTTCATTCAATTGTACAAAATTAATGAATAACCAAAAAAATGTGTGATAATTACGATCCGATTATTTTTATGCAACATAAACATTAACTATTATTACAATTATTTAATACCAAATAAGAATATAATTCATAAATCTGAATAAAAATATTCGTATTTATAAAATGAACTCTGTTAAATTCAAAAATTTGAAAGTATTTTAATATTCCTTTTTTATTTTAATGGTTAAAATTTTAAGTTGAATTTTACTGATATTAACAGTTGTTAACAAGCAGATAAACAAGATAGCTTTTTTTCATAATGATGGCAAAAATGACTCATCCACTTGGTTATCACATTTCTAAATAATTGTTATTTAAGAATTAATTATTATTAACTGAAAAGCGAAGCAACCATTACATTACTACTAAGTAAATACAGCTCTAATATACTGGCAATTTTTATTTTTAAATAATAATATATGTATTTTCATGTGTAAATATTTGTGTAAGAGACTATTCATTTCCATGCAATCGGGGAGTATCATTCCTTCACTTTGATATCATCTATTTATTATCACTTATTTAACTCTTGATCCCATATATTTGACATTGCATTTAATGATGTAAATTTGCTAATAATTACTTTTACTCATTTGTTTATTTTAAATTCTTTCAGTACGAATAGTTTTCTTTATTATCCTTTCAATTCTACAAAGAAATAGTTTAATAATAGCCTTGCAACTTTTATTATTGTTAAAGTTCCATTGAGATGATTCATCTTGATAAATCTTATGATAATTGAACAAAGACCTGCCTTTTTACCTATCATCAGAGACATCTCATAATTCTTCCAAAAACATTCCAGTTACTTTCTGATTTAATCTCACAATGCACTAATCGAATAAATTTTTTCACTTTAAAAGATAGTTCTAAAAACTTTAAAGTTTTTAACAATTTTAATTAACTAACAAAAGCAATTAATATCTAACCTAATATATATCTCAATCTAAAAATGTAAATTGGTTTCTGTCTTCAGAAAACTCATTTAGACAATTCTTAATGTCATAATTAATTATTTTCTTTTATAAATTTACAGAAATTTTGTAAATTATTGTAATAGATTTGCAGGATATCTGTTCATAGATGAATTAGTTCTTGTAATAAATCTATTAAAACAATGAAGACAATCCTAATTTTAACACAAATTATTAAAATTTTACTTATTGCACTGTAATGAAGTACTGAAATATGTTTTAAGTTTAAAAAATATGCTGTATAATAAACTAAATATTTAACATCAGAACGACATACAATGTACAGGTACTGTACAATCCAAATTATAATTTTAGAATACTTGTCTTAATATATTTGAAGAATTTAACATCAGTGATTTAGTTTAAACTTAATTTTATTAATTGAAATTATCAAACAGAAGTGCATTTAAGCTTTGCTTCCATCAAATCTGAATATAGATCATGTTAGCATATGAAGATTTAAAATAAAAATTGATAATAAAAGTCAAATATATGCCTATTAAAATGTTATATATTAATTAAAAGCATATTTTATAAATTAATTGATGATAGTAAAATATAAATGTTAGAAAATCTTACAAATCTGTTTGAAGACATGATTAGTTTGTCTATTGTCTATGTATTGTCTATTGCAATTGTATTGTCTATACATAATATCCTTTAGTTCAATTAATCTAGAAAATAAAGCATATATTATTACTTCCATAAATAAGCATTGAGTTTGGTCTTATTTTTTATTTAAAATTTTAATATTTTGTACATATCAATATCAGTTGTTTATAAT